GAGGGATCTCTTTGGGGGTGGGTTTGGAGGGGGTGGGGGCCGGCTCCTTCCTCCGCCCCGCGGCGGGCTAGAGAACCGGGAGGGGCGGGGAGACGGTGGGGGGCCGTCCCGGGCGGGGGTGGAGGCGGAGATGTCACCGCCGCCGCCGCCGCCGCCGTGGCTGCCGTTGCCGTAGCTGTCGCCGGCGCCACTGCCTCCTCCTCCGGCCGAGACGCGGAGCGAGCGAGCGAAAGCGGCGGCGAGCAGCCCGGCGCACACCACAGCTGGATCCCTCACTCCAACTTCAAGCCTCGGCCCCGCCTCTCCCCAGCCAATCTCACAGCCAATCGCCGTGCGTCACCGGTCCAGAGCCGCCCTTCTATTGGTCAGTCGCCGTGCCAGTGCGGGAGGGGGTACCGGGGTAGAGAACCACAGCTGGAATCCGGTTCCCACCCCAAAACCAGGACCGCCTTTCTCCCCTCCTCTTGCCCCTGGGTTCGCTCCCGAAGGTTGGGTCCAATCAGACAGTTGCCTAGACCGAACCCACTTTTCTATTAGTCTCTAGGTCTTTGGGACTTCCCCGGAGGGAGCCTTTAGAAATCAGAGTATTTGGCTTTGAGTCCTGGGGTAGCCCCTACGCACCCCCGAATTGGACAACAGCCAGAAGGCAGAACTTAGCTCTAAGCAGGACTGGAAAAGAAGGGAGACAAGAACCCCAGGACTTAGGGTTGTTACCGGGGTCCCGCAGTGAAATTCGACTCTCCACCTGGTTAATCACCCACCCTATGCTTGAACCCAGAGCCAGACTGGAGAAAGGGAAGAAAAGTGGAATGCCCGGTATTTCAGGCTGGAAGGTGACTGAGGGAAAGAGGCGACGCTAGAAAGGTAGAGGTGGGTGTGGTCTGGGAGTGTCTTCCACCAGCCTCTTAGGTTTGCTGGTCCAGATCCCGGGTCCACTTCTAAGACGTTGACCCTGGCATAACCCTAACCCTTCTGGCTGATGCTCTGAGCATCACTTCCTGCTTCTAGAGATCATTGCAGAGTGGAAGCTCCTCTTGGGGACTTCATCCTAGAAAAGCGTAGCCCCAGGGGTGGCACCAGACCGCAGAGCTTGGGTAACCTGAAGCCAAAGTGGAGACCACCTGGGAAGACCACTGTGGGCCTCGAGTGTGGGCTGAGCTTTACCTACTTCATCCTGCAGAGCTCCACTCTGTGCCTCAGTTTCTCCCCTTTCTCAGATTCTCAATATGGCTTAAAGGAAGCCTGACTGAGAGATAAGTGCTCGGCATAGTTGCTCTCCTCCACCACTCTGCTAGAAGCGGTGCTTGCGTTCGTGTGTGCGTCCCAGACGTGTGCATGCAAGCAAAGACCCTGGCTTTTGCCCCGCCTCGTCTCCCCGTATTCGGGGTCTCAATCAGTTTTAGCTCCCTCACACCGTGGGTGCCAGAGAGCTAAGCGCCACCGGAGGAGTTCTGAATGTGAGGCGGGCGAGTGGAGGGGGGCGGGGGAGCGGGAGGGGAGTGTTGAGATCAGACACAGGAAAACATCTCCACATCTCTACAATCTGCATAGGGTGTATACGATGGAACCCACAGGATCCGCAGTTCCGTAGGTCCGTTAGACTCAGGAAAGCCCAAGCCACTGCGGAAAAGCTGAGGAATGGATCGGACCACCTCATGCAGCCCCTGATTCCCAGGCGTTGTTCCCTGGCAAAGATGCACCACCCACACATCCTCCAGAGACCTCTTGGCACCACGACATGGGGTTTGGGGCCGTCTCAGCTCCCACTCCGGCCAGTTGCCAAGGTGGAGTGAAGAGGGCAGAGCCGCTGCTGCGCTGTCACCTTCCTAGCTGCCCTTTCGCCAAATCCCAGCATTGAATTGTGCAAAGGAGGCCAGGCCAATTTGCATTTCATGCTAATGAGCAGATCCCCTAAGTGCCTGTTTCTCCTGGAGGGAGTCTCTGCTCTCATTCCGAGTGTGAGGTGCCAGTCTTGAACTCGGGGCCCCTTCTGGGAGAGAGAAGCTATTTAAGGCTTGCTCTTACAACCTGACAGCCTCTTCCCTCCCTCCCTAGTGTCCTCAGTCAAGCAGGTGGGCTTGCTCTTTGGCCACCATCTTGAAGCCCTAGGGATGGCAGCCAGAGGTTGGAACTTTCATAACCCGGTCTCTGAAGCGGAGAGGCAAGCCAGAAGCTCACCCAGCCCCGCAGTTCTCCAGTGGTCAGAGGCTCCGCATCTTCATCCCTGGACTGCCCCTGTTACAGAACATACCAAGAAAAGAGACAAGCAGGCACCAGCTTGAGAAATTGAGACCTACTTCCCTGAGTTTGCAAGTGGGGAGATCTGCCATCTAGGACAGCCTAGGGTGTCAGGGGACCCTATCTGCTACCTGAGTGGTGGAAGGAAAGAGAAAGGCAAGAGAAGATAGGAAGTCTTTCATGTCAGTGTTCCAAGTTTCAGCTCTGACACCACCCCCTTCTTACTGGCTCTTTCTGTCTGGAATTTTTTTTAATGTGCTTTGGTGTTTGACCTGCATGCCACTGGAACTTGAGTTACAGTAGTGAGCTGCCATGTGGGTTCTAGGAATTGAACCCGGGGTCCTCTGGAAGAGCAGCCAATGCTCATAACCACTGAGGCATCTTCTCTAACCCACTCTTTCTGGCCGAGGACACAGCATTGACTTGGTCAAAAGTGAGAAACCTCACAGTACGACGTCTGGGCAGAGATAAGTGTAGACTTATTTCTGCCCCTAGGCTGTGCTCCTTGAGCCAAGCCCTAGCCTAATCTTTGATACATACACAGAGGGCACTTAGTGAATTTCTTTTGGATGAATGGAAAGTGGAAAGAGAGGAACAAACAGTTCCTTTATGAGCCTGGTGGTGGTGGCGCATGCCTTTAATGCCAACACTTGGGAGACAGAGGTAGGAAGATCTCTGTGAGTTCGAGACCAGCCTGGTCGACAAAGCAAGTTCTAGGACAGCCAAAAACAGGTAAGGTTTCACAGAGAAACCCTGTCTCAAAACAAACAAACAAAAACCTCATTTGTTTGTGCCTGTTTTCCTACTAACTTAGACCTACATATGATCCAAACGATCTTCTGGGTTTGCTAGAGTACCACATATATGCCATGCTCAGCAAGCCCCTGTAGGTCCCTGCAGCCTTTGCCCCTCCCTGCTGCTTACTGGTTCCCTTAAGAACAAAATTAATCATCCATTTGTGGTACTCTTTATTAGGGATGCCGCAAGCATCCAATTTGGTTCCCTCCACATCTCCAGGAATTAAATGGGACCCCCATTTCTCAGTTAAAGAATCTGGGGCTCAGGGAAATGAAATAACTCCCAAACCATGAGGCCATGTATATTGTGACCCTAGGTCACAAAAAAGCTGCCCCAGTACAGTCCTGCTGACAGAAAAGGGGGCACGGAAGGTGATAAGGTGGCACTTGCCAAGAAAGAGGAGGAGATGTGGGATTTTCAAAATAACTTCACATCTAGTAAGGATCATGTTCAGCCTGTGCTCTGGAAAACCCAGCCTTCCTGGGAGAAGTAATTCCTTCTTCAATCTATTTACAAGATGCCTTAGCCCTGTGCCTGCCTGGTAGCAGAAGGGAAATGAGAGGAGCAAAAGGAAGGCAGGGTGAAGGGAGAATACCAAATGCACTTTCCTTTATAGCCATGCCTCCACCTCCTGGCGGGAAGAAGCAGCCTCAGCGATCTTTGCCGATCGTTGCCATCATTCTGAAGACCCCAGGGAGAACGTGGTACACTCAGGGGTGTCAGGCTGAACCCCTACCAACTCTGGCCCTCCAATAGCTAGCCCCAGAGAGCTAAAGGCTCTTGCTTCACCATCTCATTCATGAGGGTCGAAGGGACCACAGGGGCAAGTGGACTGCATGAACTGCCCAGATTGTTCCAAATCCAGTGCTGGGGCTGCCAAAAAGGCCACCTGTGTCTCCCCATGCTCTACTCTTCCTTCCTGTTGCCCCCAAGGCAGGCTCCACGTGTCCGGTCTTTGACTTGTTGGCAAGGCTTAGTGGGATCCATCAAGAAAGGGGCCAGCTGACCTCATTGGCCGGAGTGCTAATCCCCTCCAGATGGGCTGGTGGCTTGCACCAAGGGCCTGCTACCCAGACTGCGACAACTCTGGTCTCAGTGACCATGTGTAGCTGCGTGTGTGACAATGCCCTGTCTCTAGGTTCTTTCCTGCTCCATTCCTCCCTGCTGCTGACATCCTCCCTCCCCACATCCACTCCTCTTTGTCTCTCTGGCAGCTACTCCCAGCTATCTGTGATGCTTGGCTTGGAGGCTAGGACGATGATCAAACTTGGCAGACCTCAAAGAAATAGTTTCTTTACAATCTCACAACCCCCTCATTCTATACCTGCCCAACCCAAGCATGTCCCCCAGCTTCCTTCCCTGATGGCAACTCTGTGGAGTTTTCCAACCATCATTTGTCAAGGATGGCCTGCAAGAGCATCTCCTAACATCGAGAGGCCAGGAGGAGGTCCAGGGAAGGTGCCAGCTTCCTCTGCAGCAGGAGTCAGATGGATTTGGGGAAGGGCTTCCAACACAACAGATGCTCCCCATGAAAGAGAGTCCTTCCCCAGACCATCCTGCAGGAAGCAGAGAATGACCATGACCTCCTGTAGTGATGCTAGGCTTGAATGGGTAACCCCAAAGAACTGTCTTGGTTCTGGTCATAGTAGTTTCTGCAGTACTCTACAGTAGACGGCAATGTTGTCTTTCTGTTAAATATTAAAGCCTATGCTGAGCTCTATCACTTCCCTAGCTTTAAATGAAGGGACCAGGGGGCAGATGGCAGGCCTTCCTAACAGGGGCCTCCCTTCCTGGGCCAGTATTCACCTTGTCTTCACTCTGGTTCCTGTACTTGGTTTTGGTCCACTGACTCAGTTACATTCAAGCTTCTTAATCACAGACAGAGGCAAGATCAGGCTAGTCACCTACGGAAGGTGAAGGGGCAATGAGAGGAGACAAAGGAGGCAGCTGGGGAGGCAGGGGAAGGTCCCAGGCCAGAGCAAGAGAAGCTAGGGTCTCAAGGTCACCACAGGACACTGTTAGGTTTATTTCGTGGTAAGCCGGTGCCCATGGGGGAGCTACAAGAGTGGCTGTCATCACCTGGTGGCAGGGTTCCCAGTGGTGGCTGTAGGGGATAGTCTTGCAAGGCCTAAGTCTCTGGTCAGCTGGAAATTTCTGCCTTCTGGCCCAGCTCAAAGGGTTCTGGGCAGTTACTGGTGTAGTAGCTTCCGTAGTTCGCAGGGCTCAGTGATAGGCATGGAACAGGCTTGGTTTTCAAAAACGTAGACGGTGGCCCGGTCTTCTACTCGTCGAAGGGTGCTCAGGAAGGGCAGTTGTCGGGACAGGAAGCTCGATGGGTCTCCATCTGCCAGAATCAGCACCTGGGGCAGTGGCAGAGCAAAGCATGTCACCCGGGAGCAGGAACTAGTCATTGCAGAGCCCAGTGGGGCATGACCTCTCCCCCGAGCCTCCAAAAGGCAGGATGTCGGAAGCCAGCCAAGTAGGGAGACATGACAAAGGGAGGCAGAGGGTGAACCCAACTTTGCAGGGATGTGTACCTTGTTAGGGAGGTAGATGGAGTGGACGCACTGTATCAGGGCCTTGGTGTCCTTGGCCTGAGGATCTCCACAGACCACAATCTGGCCAGTACAGGAAAGTCATCCAGTGTCAGAAAGGGAGAAGCTAGGCCCCAGATCTGCCAGAACCTCCCCATCCTTCCTCCTCCCACCCAGTGTCCCTAAGAAGGGAAAGGACTCACCTCAGCCACTAGGAGGATTCATGATTTAATGCTTGGCAAACAGAAAGATGCAGACCACATACTGACACACACACACACACACATACACACACACACACAGAGGAAGGCACACAAGTAGCAATGTCATACATTGTGCTGGATATACAAATCTGGGGGGGAGGGTATTTAAAAGACTTGATACACTGGATGGCACACAGCATACCAAGAAACATAGAATAGTTATATACATGCACAGCAGATGCCCAAAGAAAGTGGATGCCACACATATAAATACACATGAACATACTTGCACACATATGCACACACAGGCACTCACAAGTATTCATAGGCAAACCTGAGGCAAAACACTCTGACCCACACCAGGCCACAAGCCAGAAAAATGTGTGTGTGTGTGTACACTAAAGAGTTGACACAGCAATAAAGCACAAAGGAACAGAATTAATCAGACCACCATGTAGAGCCTTACAGAGAAACACTTCACCAGCCACCCAGCCACCAGGAACCCATACTTAGCCCCTTCATTTTTGCCTTTATACTCAAGACAGCCCAGTGACAAGACCTCACAGGCATGTCCCTGGCCCAGAGGCCTGTCTCCTCTGACACTGCCTTTCTACAGACACCTCCGCTCCACAGATAGAAGACCCCGATCTTACAGCACCTACACACATGTAAGTGAGCATTGGGGAGGGCACTGGAGCTCTACTCATGACTCCCATACCCTGCTGCCCTCCTGGCCTGGGTCTCAGTCCACATACAACCACCTCCCTACCTGCTTGAGAGTCTGCTGTTGAGCTGAGAGTGCACGGACCATCTCAGGCAATGCCACCGGGACACGGCGCATGCGCTCCGAGAAGGCAGTCAACAGGCACACACACTTGTCCATCCAATCCTTGTGGCCAGTGAAGCCATGCAACCGAAGCAGGTTGTGGGCAGACACAGAGTTGGCACTGGGCTCTGCACCATCCTGGTCTGCAAGGGACAGGAGGTGGCATAAGGGGGATGGTCACTGAGTTTCAGGACTCTGCCCTGAGACTGAATCTGGGTTATGAAGTTCAGGGGTAGTCTGAAGAAGTACATGCATTGTTGGTCTGATTGCTGTTTGCTTGTTTGTTCATCTTTTGTTTTGTTTTGTTTTATGAGATTGGGTTTCTCTGTGAAACAGTCCTGGCTATCCTAGAAGTCACTCTGTATCTGTATACCAAGCTGGTATCTAACTCACAGAAATCCACCTGCCTCTGCCTCCCAAGTGCTGTGATTAAAGGCGTGTACCACCACGGCCTGGCTATTTTTCTTTCTTTTCTTTTTCTTTTTTCTTTCTCTCTCTTTTTTTTATAGACCCCTCTATCCTGCCAAGGGGACAGGAAGGCACTCAACTTCTTCATGTCTTCTAATCCGTCTACACACCCTTCTGGGCTGCTGCCCGAACAGCCCCCAATCCCTCCGTGTCCCCCTCTTCAGGTGCTACCCCTGGCTGCTTTCAGCATTGCCACCAAAACTAAACACCAGTCCTCTTGATGGGTCACCCTGATTTCCGTGTTCCTAATCTTCTCTACCACTGTCAGAGTGACTTGTTTACACTCAAGCCAGAGCAGGTCAGACCCTCTTCCACTCCGGAGCCCTCACTTCCTTACCCCAGCATCTGCAGCCTCCTCACACACCACTCCCAGTCTCTTGGTCTTCCATCCCTCGGCCTATCCTCCTAGGGCTCTCTCTTTTGCCTAAACTCTCTCCTAAGTGCCTCCCCGACCACACAGCTCCTCCTGGTTGACAGCTGTCCCACAGGCCTTCTGCGAGCTCAATGCTCTGGGGGGGGGGGGGGTGTTACATTTTATACTCTTCCTGGTTACCAGTCTTCAGCTCCTACCACACACTGCAAACTTCCTGCAGGCAGAGACCAAAGCACTCTTGTTTAACAAATGAATCCGTGGCTTTCAAAGACCACTGCATGCTCACTGGACAGCTAGAACCACCTCTCCATTAACCCTGGGGAAACACTGCTACTACACTCGTGTGAATATTAAGAAGCAGGTTCAGAAATATCAGATGACTACCAAAGTCACACAGAATAAAGACATGAAGTCAGGAGCCCCCCTCAGGAAATGCCCAATCCTGACTAGGACCAAGGGCTGGCCCACAGCCACACTGACCGTCCTTTAGACGAAGAGGCAGGTCCGCTCCCAGCTCAGCCTCACTGCAGAAGTAGCCACCACCTCGGGAATCCCAGAAGAGCCTGTCCTGTGTGTCCTGCAGGCGCAGAGCCCACTCGAGCCACGAGCTCTCCTGTGAGGCCTCATACAGGTCCAGCAGGCCCCGCACCACGAAGGCATAGTCCTCCAGGAAGCCCCAGCAGGGTGGGTTACTAGGGGTACAAGAGAGAAGGAGAAGTCTGAGGGAGGGCCCAGGAATAAGCAGACAGGACACTCGTCATGCCTTCTCTCGGTCAATCCTCAACATCCACCTCTCTTGAGGCTACAGTTAGCCCGCTTCCCGAAAGAATCAAGGGGTCCAGGAGTATTGAGTGTGCGCACAGCAGAGTAGTGACTGATCAGGCAATCGAAGGGAAAGAACAGGGCTTGGAATCACATAAGATGGCCCCTTGGGCTACCCAGCCCCTCACCTGTGCTCCACCGTTCCCCCGGTGCCTGCATAACATGTCCGCTTCAGGCGGCCACTGGCCACATCAAACATGTGCCGCTTGAGGAATTTGGCGCCGTTGGTGGCCTGAGTGACCAACTTATCCATGCCCAGGACAGCCCCCGTCACAGCAAAGCCAGACACCATCAGGCCTGGAGGGAAGAGAGGCCAGGGGTGGTAAGAGGCCAACAAGAGCTCTCCAGGGACACCCACCCGAGGCTCCAAGGGCCAAGCCCAGGCTGGCATCTATTCCTTTCTAATTCAAAATAAAGACACCTAGGGGGAAAGAATGTGCTGATAGAGGGGGATTAGCAAATAGGATCAGGCCTTAGAGAGGACCACCCCACCGTTCCAGGCGGCCAGCATCTTGCTGTCCAGGTGTGCTTTTGGTCGATGTTTCCGGGCCTGGAAGAGCTTCTCCAGCCCCGCGTTGAGCAATGTGCTCACGGCTTCTACCTCTAGGCCAAAGCGGGCTGCAGTCAGCTCCAGCGAATACCGCACCATTAGAACATTCTGGCCGTGCAGCTCCCCCTTGGGGTCCTGAGAAAAACAGCCTTAGTCCGAACCCACGCAGTTAGTGGGCCTGGGGTCCTCCTCCTGTGTCCCCGGAAGTCCTCACCTGAGTGGAGCTGCTGATATTGCCTGCCTCACTGAGTCCATAATGCTTCATTAGGAGCTGGCCCGAGGTCAGTGGCTCGCTGGCGCCTCCCACAGGCTCTGGGAGCAGCTGTTGGACCTCTTTGACTGTCCACACGTAGAACGCACCCTCTTTTGGCTTCATGCCCCGCTCTGGAGGAGAATCGGCATCCTCGGCACTGTAGAAACCTCCGGACTGTGGGGACAGGAGAGTTGGCTGGTCACCATCCAAAGCCCTCCCGCAGCAAGGTACCCCCCCCACACACCCGCCTCAGTGTACACGCACCCGATGGCTCAGACTCCGGCTCACATACTGCAAGATGCCTTTGGCCACATCAGAGTAGAATTCATCACCAGAGATCTGTAGGGGATGGGAGGCTGTAAATAGAGGTCACTGGGGCGGCTCAGATTCAAAAGAGGATAGTCACCCAGGAAAGTGAGGGGAGGGAAGCCCGGGTATCCAGGATGTGAGAAGGAATTATGGGTTGAAATTAGGAGGGAAGCCACAGTTACCTGGAAGGCTTTGGGATTGGTAGTCAGGGTTGAGGTTAGGGGCAAAAGTCACCTGGAAGGCCTGGGAATAGACCACCGATAGCTGCGCCTGGTCATAGAGCATCTTCTCGAAGTGGGGGATGTGCCACTGGCGGTCCGTGGAGTACCGGTGAAAGCCCTGTGCCAGGCAGGACGTAGGGCTAGGTTGATCTCAGCCTCTACCACCAGCCCTGCTGTCTCTCCAAGGAACCTGACCTCACCCTCACCTGCCCCACATGATCCCGGATGCCCCCGTTGGCCATCATTTTCAGGGTATGCAAGGCCATCTGCTGAGCCCGAGAGCCATCCTGGGTGACCCGGTGACTGAGCCAATAGGAGAACAAGAAGCTCAGGATCACTGTGGAACAGGAAGAGGAGGGTGAGAAAGTCAGGCAGTCTCTGGTCCATCCGTCTCTGTCAGGTTGAAAGGGGGAAACCTCCACTCTCAGAGGACACAGGTCACTGCCTAGTCAGAGGTCAGGTTATCATTGGTCTAATGGGGACCAGAAAGGTACTGAGTCGCTCAGCCACACAAGACAGACCAGGGTCACTGGGTGGTCGCTTATCTAAGCCAAGACAGTCATGACATAGGTCAGAGGTCACTGACCAGGTGTGGGAAACTTGGGGGCCTCAGCAAAACCGCCATACTCCTCATCATAGCCTTCATCCAGTTGCTGGAAGCAGCGGCTGTTCATGGTGGAAGCAGAGGGCGGCAGTTGTCGGTCACCCATGGTGATCTCAGATCGGGCCAGAAGGGCTGTGGTGACACGCTCGCTGTTTTCCAGAAGGGTGTTCTTGTTCTGTTTCCACTACCGGAGGTGAACACACAGCTGGAGGTCAGCATGGGCCTCAGCCTCCATGGTCCCTCTCACCTCCCTGATACCCACCAACCTGCTCGCGGATTCTCATCAACACTGTTCGGAAGCCGACGCGAGTCAGACCGTCCTCTGGTGGGAAGTAGGTGCCCCCGACAAATGGCTGAAGGCTGGGGGTCAGCCACACATTCATCGGCCAGCCCCCTCCGCTGCTGGTGGCCTGAAAGACAGAGGGTCAAGGGTCAGGAGAGCTGTCATACACAGGTGTGACGAGACTGCCACCAGGGATGGCGCACCTGCACGAAAGTCATATACACTTTGTCCACATCTGGCCGCTCCTCTCGGTCCACTTTCACACTGACAAAGTCCTCATTGAGCAAGCGCCCGATCTCTTCATTCTGGAAGGACTCCTCCTCCATCATATGACACCAGTGGCAGGTGGAGTACCCCACTAGGACAGAAGAGGGACACGAGGGCAGGAAAGGGTTGCTGGAACCCAGAAGACCTCCCCTGACCTGCTGCCTGTCGCCGAACCCCATATTGGGAAAGGTGGATGTATACCTGAGAGGAAAATTGGCTTGTTTTCTTTTTTGGCCTTGTCGAAGGCTTCCTGTCCCCAAGGGTACCTAAGTCCAACAGGAAGAGGCATCACTTGGCAGCCTTGAAAATCTCAGAGGAGCTTGGGCCCTTACCAGTCCACCAGAACTCACCAGTCCACCGGGTTGTAGGCATGCTGCAGGAGGTAGGGTGACTTCTCATGGATTAGACGGTTGGGGGCCTTCTGAGGTGTGGGCGGAGGACAGCTGGTCCGGCTAGCCTTTCCTCCAGCAGGCATGGGCACTGAATTACTAACTGTAGCACTTCGGTCCTTGTCCCGGGAGGAGCTACCCCTAGGGGAGGCAGAGAGGTCATATAAACGGGGACCGCTTCTCCCTTGCCCACCCCAACCAGCTCAACTCCTCCCAGCCTCAGGAACTCCCACTCTCAGCCCAGCCCACCTTTCTGAACCACGGGGGAGACCGTGGCCTTTGTGCTCCCCCTTATGTTTTGGGGGTGGTGAGGAAAGGTGGCTCATTGGGGGCTCCCTGCCAGGTTAGGCTCCCCCAGCTTCTCAGACCTGGCGGTAGGTAGGCTATCTCTGAAGTCACGGCGGGTCACAATGAGTAGAATGGTCCTTCCAGCTGGGTTCTGTCACCCATGCAGGGCCCCTCCCTGGGGTGGTTGCACTGCAGGCAACCCTAGCACGCATTGCGGTGACCTGTAAAAGGGAGTGGCTACTGCCAGTGTCTGGACAGGTCAGAAGGAGTTAGGTCTGGGACTGGGCCAGGTGAAGGACAACCAGAAGAAGCAGGCAGGGATGGCTAAGCCGCAACAACCAAAAACAGAGTACAGGACACTCTGTGGGACAGGTCTTGTACTATCCACACCCACAGAGCACCCAGAGAATCAAATAGGCCTGTCTCAGGGAGTTCAGCCCGAAAGAGTGGCCCTGGGAACACAGCTAAATCACAACAGGCCAGTGGCAGCCACCTAAGGCTGTGACAGAGCGCATGGTGCTTCCAGGGCCGCTTTGGACAGCACAGCATTCTAGAAAGGCTTCCTAGAGGTGGTATGTTAAGGTAGACCCAGAGCTAGCCTGGTAGCCGATAAGGGGAGGCAAAGAAAGGAAGCCTTCCTGCTGGAAACAAGGAACAGATGGTGTTGGGGAGGGCCAGGCATGCAGAAGGATCTCAGCAGACACCACAGACCCGTGCCTGAGAGACTATCGCGAGCCCGACAGGCGCAAGGCATAGTTGTAGTGACCTGCTCATACCTGCAGCGAGCGGCGAGGCTCAGCCCCACGCAGAGAGACCCGGAGGCTAGGGCCCAATCAGGCCCACACTCCCAGTATTGCTGCTCCAGTTCGGGCGGTAGTTGCGAGGGGCGGACCCAGAGCCTGATCCTCGCCAAGTCTCGGGCACTGTGGCTGGTCTCGGAGCGCCGCCCGGCGGTAGAGCTCAGAAATACAGACCGGCCGTGCTTTTGAAGCTCCTTCAGCTTCCGCGCCTAAACGTTGGAATAAAATGAGTTAGCTTTAAAGTGCTGGCGGGAAAAATTACCCTCGCCCTTGGGAGGGCGTGAGATCTCCGAGAATCCTATTATTGTGCGTAACCCTTGCCCCTTTCACAAGCGAGAAATGAGACTCCAACCGAAGGATTTGCTCGGGCAGCAAAATTTGCTTGGTTCAGGCTGCCCATCTCAAGGTCCGACCTAGAACCCACCCACTGCAGGAAGCTTTCCCTGGAAGATGACGCAGAGCCAATGCGTCCTATTGCATGCCCTATCCACTTGCTTCATTGGCTTTATTTAGCCAGGGTCGTGTCCACTGCTCTCTACCAGGCGCTGGACACCAGGGTGCTCCTCCTCAGCCTTTATTCACAGTCTATAGCCAGTAAATATTCAGTCACACACTGTGACAAGCACCTTGAGTGGGCATAATCTAGCAAGAGGCTTGATCTGGTAGACGGGACAAGCAGGAAAGCTCCGCCAAGGGGAGGAAGTCCTACTTATGCGGTAACTATAAAGAATGAGAGAGACCTTGCAGTGAGTGAGAGTGGGCGCAGGAGGCACAGAAGGCTTAAGGATCCTGTGGGAAGGAGTTGGGACTGGAGAACAGCAGAAGGCCACCCAGCATGGCTGGAGGGCGGAGAGTCAAAAGACAGGTGGATGGAGGCAGACAGGAGCTGGTTTAGTTGGGTTTCTATTGCTGTGATGAGAAACCATTGCAAAAAGGCAAGTTGGGGAGGAAAGGGTTTATTTGGCTTCAGCATTGTTCATCACCGAGGGAAGTCAGGACAGGAACTCAAACACAACAGGATCCTGCAGGCAGGAGCTGATACAGAGGCCTTGGAGGGGAGCTGCTTACTGGCTGGCTTCCCCTGACTTGCTCAGCCCACCTTCTTCTAGAACCCAGGACCAGTGGCCCAGGAATGGCGCCACCCACCGTGGGCTGGGCCCTCCCCCAATGATCACTAAAGGAGAAAATGCCTTACAGCAAGGAGGCGGTTCCTCAGCTGAGGCTCCTTCCTCTGATGACTCCAGCTTGTGTCAAGTTGACACACAGAAGCAGCCAGTCCGCCAGGGCTGGAATTCAAAGCAGGAGACAGGAACCATAGCAGAAGCCATAGAGGAACACTGCTGACTGGCTTGCTCTCCATAGATTGCTCAGCCTGTATTTTTACAGCACCCGGGACCACCAACCCAGGGGTGGCATTGCCCATAGTGAACCGGTCCCTCAAACATCAGTCAAGAAAATGAACCACAGGCTTGCCCACAAGCCAATCTGGTGAGGACAAGCCTATGGTGCGTTTTCTCATTTGAGGTTCCTGCTCCCAAAATGACTCTTGTTTGGTGTCAAGCTGACAAGGGAGGTTAGGGAAGGGTAGGACCAGGTGGATTCTGAGAAAGGGGGGATTGCTAGGGATGGAACCCAGGATCTCGTACAAGCTGCACAGGTGATCCGGTGCACAGTCAAATCTTCAGGGGAGAACGGGAGTTTTGATGACAGAAGAAAGCTGTTGAGGGGCTAAAATCAGGAGAGCAGCCCCTTAGGTCTGTGCTCCAGGTCTCTCTGGTAGGGAACACACTGGAAAAAAGAAAGAGTGGAAGCAGGGGTAGCGAGGTCATGGCAGCACCCAGGGGAGACAAGAGGCTTGCCAGAGGGTGGGGTAAAGTCACAGAGATGAGAGGGTGTCAGAGTCAACATAAAGGGTGAGGCCTTTCTCTGAAGAGTATGGAGACGGAGGAGGTCATGAGGCCATTCTGGGCCTATCGGTCTGAATGCCTTTGAGACGTCCAAGTAGAATGGAGGTGGCAAGGTTTGATGAATAGAAAGGAAAGGTTCTTCTGCGCAGCCAGCCATTGAGGAAATAGCATATTGGGAGCAGAGAGCTGAGTGGGGCCCATATACCTTGAATGCTGACGACACTGTGGGGCCCATGCATACTGTCAGAGACATTTGCATCCCGGAAGCAGAGCCACAGGGATCTAAAAAGCAACTAGGTGTGGCAATATCTTTTTTGTGTCTCGGCTTCCATCTTCTCCCCTTGGCCTCCTAAGCCGAGACACAAGGAGCATGAGTTCAAGGCCAACGTGAGCTTCAAAGAAAGATCTTGTCTGAAGCAGGGGCTGTGGGAGAGGGGGGAGCACGAGGGAGGGGTGGCTCAGTCAATAAAGCACTCAAGGACCTGAGTTCCAACCCCAGAACCCATAAAAAGCTAAACAAAAAGAGCAGCATTGTGCTTGTGATCCCAGCAACGGGGAGGCGAAGGCAGAGCTAGATGGATCCCTTGAGTTCTCTGCCCTAGCCTGGTCTACTTAGCAAAGTTCCGGGCCAATAAGAAACCACATCCTGGGCTGGAGAGATGGCCTGATGGTTGACAACGCTGGCTCTTCTTCCAGAGTACCCAGGTTCAATTCCCAGCATCCATATGGTAGCTCACAACTGTCTTTAATTTATGCATGTGGTGCACAGACATAAGCAGGCAAAACACCAATACACTTAATAAAATAAGTAAATGAATGAAAAGGAACCCTGTCTCACAAGATGGAAGGTACCTGAGAAATGACTCTTAGGCTGTCTTCTGGCATCCATCCACATACATGTGCTGTGCCATGTGTGCACATGCGCGTGCGTGCACACACACACAGACACACACACCATGCACATGCATGCACACTACAGAAGAACAGAATAAAATGCCTAAAGAGAAAAGACAAATGTCCTCTGGATTTAGTAAGCTGGACCTTCTGCTGATGAGAGTTGTCTGGGTGACACCGGGCAAAGAGCAGGCAGCCCCCCAGCTAGGAAAGGGAAAGAGAAAAAACAATGGGTTTGATTTCAAGAGGGATGAGGTCAAGGAGGCTGTATATTGGTGGCCAGGAGCTGGCTGGAAGGAATTGATCTGAAGACCTAGAGGAGAGACAGGGCTCCTGACCCTGAGTCTGAGTGTGAGGGCAACAGACAGGGGTGGGGGTGGGGTGGACACTGCCCTGGGTCACACGCTTCAGTGCCGGAAGAGCCGTGCCCAAGGGAGGGCAAGAGCCCTGTCATGAGTGCCAAGGATTTGGGGTGATGGCATCATGAAGGTGGATGAGAGGTCCGAGCCAGGGAGTTAATATGGAACTGGGGTGAGAACTGAGCCATGAGGAAAGAATGCTGGGAATGGGGAGTGCCCCAGACAGGGCAGAGCAGAGGGCCAGCCTTGAGGAGGAAGGCGAGCCTGGTAGCTCCGGGAAGCAAGGCCACCAACCTGTTCTTCAGGGCTCCGGGGGTGGAGGGCCAGAGCTATGGGGGAGTATCAGAACCCCGGGGCCACGAAGCACACTGACCCTTCAGGGTTTGGGTGGGGCAGAAGACAGAAGGGGATGAAGAGTCACTGGTCTGGGAGCATCTGCATAGTAAACCCACAAGGAACTCTTGCAAGTAAGGAAACAGAGGCAAAGACAGAGGTAAAGTCATTTACTCAGGAGCGCCTAACCACTCATTACCAAGCGATTATCATTAAGTTTAAGTTCGGCCCCGGAGCAGAGCTTGGCAGGCCCAGCTGACCTCCCAGCAGCTGCCCTTGCCCATCCTACTGGCAGTCTTGTGGCCTCCCTCCCTATGAGCAGAATAATTCCTGCCCATGTACCCAGGAAGGGCAGAGTATTGTGCCACCTCCACCAGCGGTGGTGCTTCAGGCTGAGGAAACCCAGGTACAGTCTGTGACCCCAAAGAGAGTGGGACCAGCATCAGGCTGCCTGGTAGGTCAGGCCCTAAGTCCCGGGTGCACATGGATAACCATGGTAACCCCCAGAAGCTCAGGGCCAGCCCGTGTTTGGTTTTCTACATGCCGCAACAACCCTCCAGAGGGCCAGACTCTGGGGGTCAAGGTGGCTCCTTTCAGCCCTGGTGAAAGGGGCAGGGGCGGGGGCAGGGTGGGATTTAAGATGATAAAATCAGACATAAGATAAGGGGGCTTCCGGTGGCTGGCTATGCGGCAGCCGTATTCAGTGTTATTGGTGTGTCTACCTTGCTGCCCTCTTAGCTCCTGGAAGATGTGGGTTCAGACCTCTTTGGATCCCCCTGGGTGAGCCCAGCATTTTGTCCAAGACAGTCAGTCAGTGTTTGCTGAATTAAACCTGATCCGGCACAGACAGCCGGACTGTCTGACTCTGAATTCCTGCCCCACATCACTCCAGTTTTGTGAGCATACTACTATACCCCTCAAAGCTTCAGCTAGCTATTAGGCAGGAGTAGTAAGAAAGACCTATGCCACCCCACTTGGGAGGGCTGGGCCCTTAGTTTATTGTTCTCCTCCTCTTGTCTTAATTTAAAAAGAAAAAAGAAAATGAGCCCAGGCTGGCCTTGAACTCAGTATCCTCATGCCTCAGCTTCCTTCAAGAGCCAGGGCGACAGGTATGTGTCACCACCATATCCATCCAACTGTGTTTTGAAATACTTAACCCAGTTTTGGACAAGGAGCACTGCATGCTCAGCTTGGGTAGGGCCCTACAAACGCTGAAGTCCTGAGCAACAATATAACTGCGGAGGCTCCTTGCAATATGATTACATGAAATTCTCTGCATAAGGTACATCGCGCATCAAGGAATGAACAAATGCTGTTACCCCTTGCTAGCGGGGTAGCCCATGTGTGACAGCGGATGGAGGCCTAAATGCATGAGAGCGTAGGGAAGGAAGGCACCAGGCCGACATGAGATGGGAATGGGAGATTGAGAGGGTTCTGAGGGAATACAGACTGTCCAGTAGTTTCCGCCTCGGCTGGTAATCAGTGCTGTGGTCCAGACCCAGCTGCCACATCCCTCAAAAAGTCCACTTGGTAAGAGCTGAGGACGTAGATTCCAGTCTTTATTAGGCGGATGTAGTCTTCGTCCCCTGGATGTCAGTCCCTAGCTCGTTCAGGAGCTGTCAGGGGTCCTCAGGAACCAGGAGCAAG